ACCTATTGATATATGTTTAAAATACGGATTGCCTCTTATGGTTTAGAAAATTATACATGCCCCATTGTTAGAATTTTTTATTTAATAGAATTCATTAAAAAAAGAATTTTCTAACTGTTCTTCTATACAATAATAAAATTAACTGAATTATTAATTAAAATAAATTTCTATCAATATTAAAGTTGTTAATTGACCTTATATAAAATTATATGAAAATGATGAATGTTTTTAAGTTTTTTCATCACCAAAATAAATTTTAGTTTTTTACAATTTTTTTTTTTCTTTCTAAAAACAAACTTTAAAAATCAAATCAAACAAAAACTTAGACTTTACTGTACTTTTGGTCCTTGCAATTACAAAGACTATGAAAAATTATATTGTGGTCTAGAGATAAGTTATCACATGATGCCTATACTTGATATTATTTGTTAAAATTGTAAGATCCAGTACTTCTTGTTAGAATATTGAGAAATAATTTGACAAATGTCAAATAATAAGTAGTATAAAGTATTGCTCCTTGACCACAAAATAACCTCTCCAAAGATTATTCTCAAAATAACAAATATATATATATATATATTACACTGTAACGAACTTTGACACTTCTATAATTGAAGTTGTTCTTATGATAGAATAACAATATGTAATTACTTTTAGCTTCTTTTACCTTCAAATTTAATATTGAGAGAGCTTAAAGGGATCATGGAGTTAACTGTAAGTCTCATTTTAATAATTTAAACCGTTCATTTTGTAAGATTCTTCGTATATATGATTCATAAAAAAAAATAAAAAAATAAAAAATAAATAGATCCAACAATTGTAACTTTTTTATTTTATTGTGCTTGTCTCTTAAGAAAATAGTGGTCTAATTTAAAAGATACACATGTCTATTTTTTTGAAAACAAATGTAATAAAAAAAAATGACCTCCAAAACTTACTTTGAGTATTGAATTTTACAAAATCACATTACCTATGGTGCAAAAAACAAGTAATAAGTTCTATCAAAGTATTCAAATGTTATAAAAGACCTCCAAAACTTTTTTTTTTTAAAAAAAAATTACATTAGGCAGAACAAATAAATGTGAGTTGTAATATTCTCAAAATAAGAAAGATAATAAAATATTTTTTCTCAAATGCAATCATTGAGTCATCCGCGAGACTAAAGTCATTAAAATAAAAAAATCCAAAATGAGTGACTTAATTATCTAAAAAACCTAAAGCAAAAATGAAGTATCAAGAATAATCGGCGGGCAAAATGAATAAAAAAAAAAAAAAATTTAAAAAAAAAAGTCCGAACCTCAAACAGGTAAGGGCATCTTATATATATCTATCTATATTATATATATAATAGAATGTAGTAGTGTTTTCAAAAGCCTTCAAAATGTTATTCCAAAATTCTCATAATTTTAAAAAATACATGGCAGCTCTCTTTTTAGTTTATAGTTCATTTTCTTCTCTCTCAAAGACTTTTGGAACAATAAAACTCCTAACAAACCCATCCATAAAAGCTGTCCAAAAAAAAAATCAAGACTTTCACTCTCCCACAACTTCTACAATAGATACATATCCCTCTCCCACGTTACTCTCCCACCTCAAACAAATCTAAAAACAAAAAACACCCATCTATCCATATCCTTATAACATATAGATATAAAGACTTTCACTCTCCCACAACTCCTACAATAGATACATATCCAAGAGATACATATCCCTCTCCAACATTACTCTCCCACGTCAAACAAATCTAAAATGTACTTCATTAACTTCCTTCTTCAACAGTGAACATCAGCAGTCCCCGAATTCAGCAATCCGCCTCTCGATCGAATGCATGTCTCGGTTCTTCTTTTTTCTTTTTCTTTTGCTTTACTAATTTATTTTTTGTTCCAGCCATTCGTGATTTTGTATTTTGACTATAAATATTGCACCATTTGTGATTTTGTATTTTCATTATAAAGATTGCAGAAAAAGCAAGTGTAATTTATCCATAACTTTACGTGCAGACACAGGCAGATCAGTCTAACAAATCCAGCTGCACTTACGATTCAAAAATTACAAGCTTAGAATAACATGCGCATGGGCTGCTGAAGTTGCAGATTTTGAAACCACAAATCTTTTAAGTTTTAAGAGAATTTCAACCCAAACAACTTTCACGCCCAATTCTGCAGATTCATTATGTTTATTCTCATTAATGGTGTACTTTTATTGTTGACATACCTTGAATACATTTGCACAAAGACACATTTTTGTATTTATTGAGAAAAGTATGGGTTTGATTTCCATAAGAAATTTAAATAGTGTTCATATGCATTCGATTTTTGGTAGATTGTAATTAAATTATGTTCATATAAATTCTTTTGGTAGTAGTATTGTTCTTTTTTTTATTTTTATTTTTTACATGTCTTACTTTGAGATATGGTAGGAAATGGTTTATAACGGTACTACTGTGAATGGTACTATGAGTGTTCCAATCAAAATTTTTAATCTTTTATGTTTTATTTTGTTTTACAAAATCCAAAATATATATGTGCATACTTGGTTTGAAAATTAGAAATATTTTTTATGTTTTGAAATGAAAATTCTACCATAATAGACATGATTTCAATTCTTTTGTTTTTCTTTATATTTTTTAATTTAAGATTAAAATTTAATTATTTTCATTACTTCTTTAATTTCTTAGATTTCAAGAATCTATTAAATTTAATACTATATTTTGTTTATGATTTTAGTAGATAAATAATTCAATAAAAAATAAAGTTTAAGATGGTTAAAAGTATATTTTGATAGGTATTTGCAGCGTTCCACCAATAAGATAATGCAAGTTTACCATTATATTAACAATACATATTAGTTTTATTTTTATTTTATGTTATGAAAAATAAAATCAATAATTTTACACATAATACAACTAAATTTATTTTGGGTGGAGTAAGAGGAAATTAATTAATTTTATGTATATTATAAACTCATAACAGGTATTAAGTCCTTTGTGCATTAAACTCATAATTTTTTTTTAAAAAAAAAAATTTATAATTTAACACAACTTTTAAATTTGTATTTTTATTTTTATTTTAAATTTACAAATAATACTCTATTTGGTTTGGAGTTTTCAAAAACAGTTTTTGAATTTTGAATTTATATATTTTTATTTGTAGTGAATTTTTACAATGTTTTAATCAAATTTGTTTACTTTTTAAATCTAAATAATTTAGATACACTTAGTAGTCGTTTGACATGTGAGTTTGGCATGAGTTGGGACTAAAATAACCACAAAAAGACAAAATAGACTTTTTAACCTCAAGCTAAAAGTTGTTATATCCAAACCATAATCAATTCATTTTTTTTTTCTCACAAAAGTCAAAAAAAGTCCATTCCAAACGAGACAATTTTAGCCCCAAGCTAAAAAAGTTAATAAACCAAAAAACCAACCCACAATCCAAACAAAGCCTTAAAAAGTACAATTTTTTTCAATAACGACTTTAAATAATTCACTAAATAGGACCCCAAAAGATCCAGTGTATTTTCATATATTTTTTACATTCATTGATTATTTTTTTTTAAGAGGTCTTCACAAATATTTTATTATATAAATACATTTAAATTAGGTGTATTTAAAAAAAAATATAGAGTTATAATACAAATAATAAAGAGTTTAAGAATATTACAATTATTTCACATCTATTGTTAACGATTGCATTTTGATTCAAAACCACAAAGAGATTTTCTGGCTATATTTGCTTCATAGGGGATAAATGATTTTGGCTTCAAATCACAAGGGGATAAAATACATTTTGCCCCAAATTCTAATACTTTAGGGGGGATTAATAGTGAGGGGATTGTTAGTGAGGAATTGTTAAATTATTTTTATATAAAATAATAAAATAAATAAAAAAATATAAAAAAAATAAACATTATATTTTAAAAAAATTCCCAATATATAAAAAATAAAAAAAATTCTAATCCCCTTACTATTTTTCTAATACCATCTCTACCTCCTCCTTACCAATCTCCCTTCCTCCTCCTTACTAATACCAAGGGATTACTAATCTCTCCCCTATCTCTCAAAACAAACACCTCATTCTCAATCCCCTCCTCACTACCAAATCCAATTCCCTCCCTATAACTCCAAACAAACGGGGCCTAAAGGCAGAATGGCCGAATCAGGATAGGAGTAGTGGGTGAGGGCAGAGAAGATAGCAGGGACGGTGGGTTGAGAGGTGAAAGGGGATGGTGGCCTAGTGATGGGGGTTGGTGGTGGAAGAGAGAGGGGCGGCTAGAGTGGTGCCGGTGGTTAGAGTAGTGACAGGTTAGTCACTAGAGAGGTGGTTGAAAACTTTTATTTTCACACTTAGTTCCTGTTTGGCAAGGTAATTGGGACTAATTTAGTCACTAAAAGACAAAATATATTTAAAAAAATCAATAAAACATGTAATATTCAAATCATAATCATTTTATTTTATCTCTCACAAAACTACAAAAAAGTCAAAAATTCATCCAAAAAAAAAAAAAACTAAATTAAGGTTCCATTTGAAAACATGCTATTTTAATAATTTTTTAACTTTTTGCAAAAAAATGCATAAAAAATAAAGAGAGAAAAAAATAGACTTTCTGATTTGATGGCTTTTTAATTTTTATAATGACTTTTATACTAAAATATTAAGTTGTTAAACGAATCCTAAAATAGTCTTAAAAAAAATTAACAAGCTTAAAAATTATTCTTAAACTTAGTCCTCTATGCACAATTAATGTTTTTTTTTTTGTTTTTTTTTGTTTTTTTTTGGAGGGGGCTGTAATTACAGTTCTATCCCTTAATCAAATTACCATATTGGATAAAAACATTAAAATTTAAATTAATTTAATTTTTATATATTAACTCTCCAAAATAGACTCCTAAAAGACACTTTCCCAAAAAATTTGCTGGATTTTTTTTGACGGTGAATTGCAAAACAGTCAAAAACACCGCCCCGCCCCCGGGGGGGGTGGGGTGTTTGGGGGGTTTAATATTAGCAGGAAAAGTAATTTTGCTGATATACTAAACAATGACGATGTTCACCATGAAATTACATTAAATGTGAAAAGCGAAAAAAATTATAATAATTAAATAAACAAAATGCCAAATAAAATGATCTAAAACCACACTCATTCCGTATGTACAATCACAACTATGGTTCCTGTGCTTCATAATCCAACAAAGCAAACTTCACATTCAAACCAATCTTACCACCCTCTGTCACCAGCTTCGCAGCCGATACCAACCAATGCCCCGGAGCGTCATGTGGGCCCCGAACAACCTCTGCCGTATCGACATATTTAAGTAGCTTTCCAGCACGTACTGGCATAGGCGGTCCATCTGGGTACACACCGGAATTCAGAGCTGCCGGAAGCTGTTTTGGAGCATCAGTAACCGTCCGTTGAGTGAACGTGAAAGTTGTGCTCAGATTCATGAGGAGACTAGACTTGCGGTTTCCTACCGGTGCAGCAGCCCACTCTGTTTTCCGAATGGTGCAGTTAGGTAGGTGGGTGAAGAGCAATCGGAGGTGAAGAACCGACTTTGGCCACTTTCCTTTACTAATTAGTTGTGCACCAGTTACTATGAAAACACCGGGATGTTCGCCTTGTATCCAGTTCGGGTCGTGCTTAACTACCGATGAGCATACATTAGAGTATCGCTTCCATTTCACGGGTTCTAAGAATTGGTTACTCAACTCGTAGTCATCGGTACCACGCCATTGACACGGCCGGCATGTCGAGGGATTGGCTAATGTAAATGTCACAATATTTGGAATGCTTGAGAGATGTTGTACGTGTATTGCCAAATGGTTGCTTTTCTTCCCTTCCAAGTACAAGCGCAGGCCAATAACTGGTTTCTGACTAGTTGAAACCTGAAAGGGCCACAAGATTTGAGTTTTTAAACAGAACTTAATGTAATTGTATATTAGCAATCTTAAACAAAGTTATGAATATTGTACCAGTCTACGAAGCACAGATACAAACAAAGGGCATAGAAATTCTCAAACAATTAGAATATGGACACAGCAAGAACACACAAAAACATATTATGTATATATGTTTGTGTGTGTGTGTGAATATATGAATATAAATTTAGGATGGATAGATATGAGAGACATCAATGCGTATGTGGATGTATTTCTAATTTTTCCTACCTTTCACTCCAAACAAGTTCTCTTAAATTTAAAAAGCATAAAATAAAATAAAATAATGCCTTGAAGTATGTCCAAACACAAGACATGCATATCTCTAAAGTGCTCCCAACGTGTCCAACAAAAAATAACGAGTAAAAAAATTGACAGATCATGTGGTATGTCGAACATGTGTTGTATCGGACATGGACATGGACATGGCACCTATTTTGAAGTGTCAGTACTTCTTAGATAATAACCATGGTTACCATTTTTGTTATCGGTATGGTATAAACAAATACCAATATAATTTTGGATACCGTTCCGAATTTATCATTATAAAAATTATATATTTATAAGATACATATTAATTATGGTATACTTCATTAATGTACAATAGTAAATTATAGCGATGTTTATGAAGACCATATTTAAAAAAATAAAAATAAAAATAAAAATAAAAATAAAAACCATAAAACGTAAAACCCATTATACATTTTTTTTCTTTTAAAAAATTAGAATTCGTCTTCAATATTGCAAGATTATTTGTAGCTATATCAAGCTTTGTCATATGATTTACATACACAAAATTTGCCGCATACATGAAACATATCTAAAAAGTAGGAAACCTCTCTCTTTCACACACGCACCCCTCCCTCACTGCCAAACCCGTATGTTCAAAAAATGCATGAATTTTCCCGATACAACTAGAATAGTGTGATACAAGCGGAAAATTTAGTCAGAAGTAATCAATATATTGTACCAGTATTTTGTTAGAACGGTATATTTTGGCTGGTACCGGTACATGACGTTATTCACAACTTTGGCTTGCACATGCATAAAAATAAACTTGCCACCACCTAATCAAACTATCAATGGTAAGTATCTAAAAAGCACGGACACTTCTAAGAAGCTTCATGTCTGTACTGAGGATGGCAGTTATTCGGTGCATTGGTTGAGAGCCTCCTTTGGACATTCAGTGTGGAGTCCTTTTAAGTCTCCTTGGTTGGTGGGATTTAGGGGTTCTCTTTCCCTCCGTCTTTGGTGGTCTTCTTTGTTTGTTATGTTAAGCATGGAAAAATCTTTACAATTGATAACTTGATAAAAAGAAGGCAGGTGCATGTTAATTGGTATTGTATGTGCAAATGCAAACATGATGGAGAATCTGTTAGCCATCTTCTTATACGTTGTGAAGTTGTTTGAGAGTTCTGGTCTTTGATCCTCATCATGTTTGGTATTGATTGTGTGTTTCCTAAGAAAGTGGAGGAGCTTCTATATTCTTGGAGAGAAGCTCGTGTGGAAGGAGGAAGAGGGCCTGGGAGTTGGTTCTGTTGGCAACAATGTGGATTGTGTGGAGCGTAAGGAATAGGCAAACTTTCGCTGGGAAAGAGGACTCAATTTTGAGGTTAAAGAGTAAATTTCTTTACTGTACAGTTGCCTGTCCGGGACAATTACTTCATCTTTGAACCTATATTTACACTTTGTTAAACCCTTTAAATAGGTGTTTTGATGTATAGATGGTTTAGACACTTATATGCTGATAGCACCCCTTTAGTGCCTATTTTAATGCAAATTTTATACTCATCAAAAAAATGTACAAACTCTTGCCATAAATGATTTTTACTCAATTATATGTAAGCGTATGAACATTATTAACATAGAATCTAATAACCAAGGCTTCCAGAGGTTCTTGTAACACTAGGTTTCTTATAAATGAATTTCAATGGAAATACAATTATCTCTTTCTCTTTTTATCTATTTTTATTACTTAAATACTTTTTTCTTGTTTTCCATTTGTTTAATATTGGTAAAGCAGGCAAACCTCATGTCCATATTGAGACTTCAAACCTGCACCTTCTCAATTGGAAGAGACGGGAAATTCCATGTCAAGCAAATAGGTAGTGACAACCTTTCTTTTGCTTAGCTATGTAACCTGAAGCATTTAGAAACTTTGTAATTTTTCTTTTGCATTCTCTCTCTTTTTCATAGAGAGTAAAGAAAACAATATGAAACAAAAGAATAACAAAAAAATGTTCCTACTTGTATAAACAATTACGCACAAGTTATAAGCTTGCCACTAACCTGCATCCATAAAACTAAAATGTGTTTGTACATGTGTGTGTGTTAAGAGATGCCCAAGAAAGGAGACGAGAGAGAACCTGGGTGGAGCTGATATGAATTTTGGGCCCCATGAATCTGAATTGCAGTCTAGGGCAAGACGCCTTTCTTCTTTGATGCCCAAGAGGAAGCTCACAGAACAAAGGTGCCCATTGCCTAGGAACTTGGAACTCCAAGAAGTACTGCAGATCCTCTGGAGCAGGCTTATCTGACAAGAGAGTCATTTATCAAAGACCTAGCATCTCTCCCTCTCTCTATATAACTGAGAAATAGCATGAGCATGAGCAGAAAGGAAAAAATAATAATAAAATATTGCCCAGAAACTAATCCTCAAAGGTGCTAAAGATGGCTACATGGCCAACTGGACATAGACTCTAAAAAATTAAGATGTCAAAACAATCTTTCATTTCACCAATTAAAAATGAAATTTGGAATTTCCATTTCCAATCAAAGGCAACCTGAATGAGTTTCCTTTTTTGCCTTTCATCATATCATCCAAGCATGACAATCATTTTCTACTATTTTTCGTAAGCCACAAACATTCTCTACCATTTTAATATTTTTTCCACAAAAAATTTACTAAAAATACTAATTTACACAAGTGGAAGGAAACCTGGATGATAATAATGTCGTGACTCGTGAGAAAATAATTAGATACAGACAATAACCACAAAAATTAACTGACTATATTGCTGGGGGAAATACTTACAGCGAAGATACAAGTTGATTGCATGACTGAGATAGCCACTTCCTGGAACCCCAATAAGGAGAGAAGTAATGGGTACAAATTTAAAGAGAATTGCCTCTGGATTAGCAGTCACTGTCTGAAGCCACTTTGAGTGGCTCTGTGAAAACACATCCCCTCCTCTTTTTGACCAAATAATAGTAAGACCCTGTTCCAAAGCAGATCACGGATTCACAGCCTGCAATTTTTTATTTAGAATTTTTAAGTATGTCATGACTTACCTCCTTGCCTGATGTTTCTGTAATACTTGTAAACTGCATGGTGTGGGACTGCAACATCCGTTTAAAGACCTCGGGAACCTAAATGGATGGATGACACGAATTAATTGCATACGTGACTGAGACAATCTAATAGGGGCCAAGTGGTAATATATATTAAAATAACCTTCTGTTTTCCATCCCTTGTTTTCTTCTCTAGCAAAGAAGGACTAGTTCCATCTGAAAATAGACAATCTCCAAGATCCTCCAAATATCCCTTAAGTTCAGCGGGAGGAATTGTCGATGAAGGCTTTTGTTTTACACAAAGTAAATCTTGACCCCCAACCGCCATCCCTACAATTATGTGAGTTCCATAAGTCTGGATAAACCTGCCAAATAAAACCTAATCAATATTGTACACCATATCAACTGCAGATTACAGAATTATATATGGGGTCACCTAGCCTAAGAAAAAAAAAAGAGTCAATCCCTAGACAGACAGATCATCCAAGAAAATTGGTCCTAGAATTCTCCCACGACCCTTATTTCCAAAACACAAGATAGCAACTTGGAGACACAAAATAAGTTCACACTATCGAAACGACAAAAGAAAAATTCTATTTTTCTTTCATTTTTTGGGAAATTCACCAAGTAACGTGGACATTTCCACAGAGGAGCTGTGTTTGTGTTGGGCATACGGCATACCACTGATAGTACTTATCAGAAACAAACAAAAACATAGACACTTCTCATATAATGTGTCCATAATTTGAATTTAAATGTCACAACTTTGACACTTCTCAGACACTCACTGGAAGCATAGCCTATAAAGGTCAAGCATGCAAGGGGAAGGAATACTTCAAAATTGGGGGGAAAACATGTACAAAAAAATAGATATAATAAGGCCCTGCTAATGTCAAAATATTTAATGCATTAAAATAGAGAAACCACCTAGAGAGTGATGCTGGATTCCAATGAGATGGAACAGATTTCTTCACTTTGTCTTGGAGTACTAGTGGAGACGCTGTTAGGTGTAAACAGTATAGTGAGATGAAAAAACCATCAAAAGCGAGATATTTGGCATCTGAGGCATCAGTCAACCAGGCTCCAGTTAAATCAAAGATAGCATTAAGATAGCCTGAAGGGACTTTTCCTTGGACTGAAGATTTCTGATTCAGCAACTCCGACATCTGCAAAGAGATAATTATATGAAGAAAAAAAACAAACAAACAAATTAACAAAATAGACTTTAGAGAAGAATGAAACCTAGAGCATATTAGGGTTTATTTTCTCAAAGTATCATTCCATGTTAAAAAATGCATGTTTAGGCTTAAAACACTAAAAATGTACTCTTACAATGTTTACAAGCACTGCAATATATTTGTTGTAAATTTTGGCCAACCTTGAAAAAATGGAAAAAAAAATGGTTTAGTGTAGATAAAATGGGGAAAATATAATTTTTGGATAGCTTGTAATTCAATATAGTGATATTTGAAAGATGTAACATTTTGAAGTTGTTTTGGATTTATTATGAATTTTTGAAGTTGAGTTAACTTGCTAGTTTTACTAGTTTGTGTATTTTTAATCCTATTCTATGCCCTAGTGGCTTAGAAGTATGTTCATTATGTTTAAATTTAATTCGTAATATTGGGGGGCTAAAATGGTGATTTTGACCACCGCTAAAAGTAAAATGGTAATTTGGGGCATAGGGTAAAATGGCCATTTTAACACTAGTTAATTTGATAATTTGAGCACATGGTCAAATTGATGATTTAACCCTTAGAGCATAATAGTTGTTTTGACAAATTGGATATTATGGTAATTTTGACTAACAATTGAAAGTTGAACATAGGGGGTGACCACTAGTTCAATAGTAAAACATTTGCCTAATAACCTTAAGGTTATGGGTTCAAGTCACGGGACAATCACTTTATGCACTATGCCAAGGGTTAAGTGTATACTCAATCTTTCCCCCTCCCAAACATACATTCATGTGTACTAATTGGGCATTGTGTGAAATGAGATGAGAAAATACTTCAGTATGAAAGTGTGGAAATGTTTTAGTGTAGAAAAATAAAGTGTGTTCGTCTTATAAGCATTGTTGTCAAATAGTCAATCGTTTTGCTGAAATAGTGAATCGTGAATCATGTTGAATCATGAATCGTACAATTCACTTTATTTAATGTCAGATATAATTCCATATATTTATATATATAAAAAAAAAATACACACCGTGTTTAAAATAAAGCAAATTATCAATATGACTAATTACATAAATGTATATACATATAAAATCATGTATATCAATATAACTGATTAATCTATTCTATATATCTTCATAATTTGGCGAAAACAATGTTGTTTCATGCATTATGTAAACAAAAATAGAAATAGAACCGAATTGCAGTGAATTGTGTGAATCGCAATGAATCATAAATTGAATCGTACAATTCACTCAGTTTTTAATTCAACAAAACGATTTGAATCATTTTTGTTGAAACTTGTATCGAATCGTATGAATGGAATAGTGAGTCGTAAGATTCTAATAGCCATGCTTATAAGTGTTTCAAAACATAGTTAGTATGAATAAGTTGCATTTCAAAAAATATAGAACATTGTTACTATGAAGAGATTCATCACATAAATCGTGTTTGGATGGTTGAAGAAGTATCGCTAAAGTGTCTGAGAAGTGTTTATAAAGTACCCAACATTATGAATTTACGTTTTTAATTAACACAAGTTGAAGAAGTGTCAGACACTCTTTTAAGCATGTTCACAAAGTATTGTGTCTTACACACCTCCTTTATAGAAGTGCTTGTGCTTCTCAGGGCCCAATACTTTATAAGATAATGTTCAGGCCAGTGTTATTAAAGGCGATAGGTGCACCAAGGCACCAAGGTCTCTTGGGACCTAGGCTCAAGGCGCAAGGAGGGGAGCAGGCTTCACCGAAGTGAGACACACCTTGTATGGGAAAAAATATATAATTTAATATAAGTAAATAATTTAGGATTCAACATAAACAAAAAAAAATGTTAAACGTTTAGTGTTTTTTTAAGATTAGGAATTAGGACTTAGGACTTATTTTTCTTCTATCATTGATTTGGGGTTGAATGTCCAACATATTAGCATCTGTAATAAGAGTAGGGATCTTCTGTAACTGCACCATATTAAATCAATGGTCAAATTTTAAACAAAACCAATTAAAGTAACAATAAAAAAAAAAACCCTCAAGACGCAAGCCTTGGACCAATCAGGCACCTTATCACAGTCATTTGGCCTGGAACAATACAAGGCACAAACCTTGAGCCTGGACGGGACTTGGGCCTAGGCGCGCCTTATCGAAGTCGCCTGGGCTGGAACACTACAAGGCGCAAACCTTGGGCCTGGATGGGACTCGGCCTAGGCGCATGCCTAGGCGCGCCTTTAATAACACTGGTTCGGGCTATAGCCTAGTGCTAACGTTGAATTGTGATTTGGGCTATAGGCCATATTTTTGGTCCGGTGCACCTGATTAGATGGTATTGATTGTCCACCAGTTAGAGCCCCCGGACTAGTCCGAGGTATTGGAGACTAGTAACCCTCATGTAATAGGGTGAATCTGGTGGATGGGATTGGATACATGTAGGACCATATGTATGCATATCGAAATTTTGGATATTAGTTTGATTATTATTGTGTTGCACCATTTTGCATGCCTACAGAATATTAGGGTTTTTTTTTTTTTTTTTTTTTTTTTTTTTTTTTTTTTTTTGGAGTTTTACTTCCTTTATTTAACCAGCGTGGGCTGATTTCGTAGAACTAGGATTCGAATTTAATTAAAGGGAAAAAACTGTAATAATCCACAAATGTCATACTTAATTGATATTATTGTATACCATTTCATTTCTATGATCACCCATGGATGGAAGGTGGGGATCTACCAAAAAGCAACACATTATCTAAGCAGGTTGGTGGTGATGGACCAACATTATTTGGAAGTTACGCAAACATATAAACACCATATTGTTATAATGATAATGGCCATATGGGAATAGAAGTCTCTAAATTACAGTGATTATCAGTAAGAAACAGTCTCAATTCCCATGGAGTAATTTCTTGTGCTGAAACTCAAGCACAATGTTGGTTGTGGTTTCATTCTTTCCGAGCCCCTTTTTTCCCCTCCTTTTTGTCTCCTGTGGGTTTCTTGTGTGTTTCAATCTCAGGCACAAGTTGGTTGTAGCTTTAATTCATTTTTAGTCCTTCCCTTTACCTCTTGTATTGTTTTTCTTTTGTCTATTTGTGTGTTTATGTGGTTTAGAACCTAGATAAATCAGATACCAAACTAGTAATCAGTTTTGGGAGGTAATGAAATTAGATTTACTTAAAGTTGATTAGATATAGGTTTTCCCAATTGATTGATTTTCAACCAAATTTTTTTTGCTTTTGGGATCCAAACACTGCCTTCCAATTATAGTTGCTACCAAATATAATTACACACTAAATATACATTACAAATCCCAAACCACACCATTATGTACTTAAAATCATCAGATCATAATAGAATTTAACACAAAACCCATTATTAAAATCAAATATTCAAAAACAAAAAACAAAAACAAAAAAATAATAGATTGAAATTGAAAATCTTCACCTGATTGAACTCGAGAACATCGGACTTGAATCGAATCCGATCCCCTTTATCGCAGCGAATATCCTCCGACACGCCCCGAATCGTAACCCCACCCGGAATGACAATGTTCCTCGTGTTGGCCTCATCCAAGGCCACCAATCTCCCACCTCCGGGACACCCCTTGGCAAACTTCAACCTGAAATCGCTGGCCAGATCAAACCCTAACCCTAGGGACTCCAAGGCTCTGACCTCGATTGGCACTTCATCAACAGCAGGGAGTGCCATAGATGCCCTCAAAACAGCGTCACTTTGAGGATGATCATACAGTGAAAGCTCTCAGCTGAAACCAAACTGAGCTAGGGTTTATCAATCTAATCTATGTAGGGACACGGAAGAAGAAGATTGATGAATTGAAGCGTCTCTTGTATTAATGGACGATTTGATTTGACCGAAGGTTTCGTCTGCCGGAGGCGTCTTTGAATTTGACTTCGCCACACAGTGACGTTATCCTGTTGAAAAACAAGCTTCATTTATATATTCATGCACACCATGCCATTTCCAGTCATACCACTACTAATTAGGCTTTTTCTCTTCTTTTCTGTTTTTTACATCGGAAGAAAATTTTCTCTGTAAAATTAATAAAAAAAAAATAAATAAATAAGCAAAACTGTAAACACTCATTTAATTATTTTGAAAAATTGGTTAAATGTTGACTTTTTTTTTTTTTTTTTTTTTTTTCACACGATGGAATGTTTTGGCCTTTTTTTTTTTTGGTAAAATTAAAGTAGTAATGTGATTCAAAATAAGTTAAAAATTGAATTTTCACTTTTAACCACGTTTTCAAATTGAGCCAATGTCTCCCCTTATGAGACTATCGTCATCTTTGGTTTGTTATTAAGAAACAAATTTTAGTGAAAAATTTTTAAAATTTTATTTAATTTAGTGATTTTTAAAAAAAAAATTTAAAATTATTTTCTCTCTCCCACACATCAATGAGATTAACATTTTTCATTATGAGAAATGCTACTATGGCCTAAATTAGGAACTTGACTAAAAATTAACCTATTTTGAATCATATCATTTTTTTATTTTTTTACATATTTTTCTTTTAGAAAAAGTCAAAAAAATTAATTTTTAATCAACTTTTCAAAATAAGATTATATACATTCTTTTAAAATGGTATACCATGTGCACCTTTTAGGCTTCATTTGGGAATCCAAGTTTAGGGCCTTTTTAGTTATTTTAGTTACAAAAAATAAAATAAATTTTTTAACTCAATAAAATAAAATATCACATTCAACCCGTAATCATTACATTATTTCTCTCACAAAAAAAACTAAAAACCCTACTCAAACAAGGCTTTTTAACCCCCAGGCTAAAATAATCAAAAAAAGTCAAAAAGCCAACTCACTTCCCAAACAAACCCTTAGTTATACTATTTTCTTCTTTAGTTTTAACTAATTTTCTTCTTTAATTATGACATTATTTTGATTATGATTCATGAGATCTTTGATTATATCTCATATAGTGTTTAGTTATAACTTTTTTTTTTATTTTAATTATGACTTGAAAAATATGAATTCATATCATTTTTTTTAATTATAAAATATATATATATATACATAACTTTCCTTTTTTATTTATATATATATATATATATATATTATTTAATTCCTATATGATCAAACATGCAATACAAAATTGATGTGTAATATACATGAAGAAAGGGCAGATGGGGGAGGGTGCCCAAGCGTGGACGTTGTTGACTGGTGAAACCTCTCTCTTCTGCTTTTGCTGCTGCTTTTTTTCATTTTATTTCCGCTAGTCAAACATTCCAAACTCAGATATGTTTTTTTTGAACAGTCCAAACTTGAATATTGATTGAAGAACTTACCTACTACACTAACACCCACCTTCTCCTGCGTCATCCATCTGCAACTCTAGACTCATCCTTTTAATCTTTTGAGAGACTAGTCCAATCTAACGACCCTGTTTGATCTTCTTTCCTTTCCTCTTTTTCCAGTGGTTTTTTTTTCTCAATTTTGATCAAATAATTTTTAACATATTTAAGAAATTTCAGTCTAGAAATCCCTAGAATTAAAAAATGTTGAATTGAAAACAATCATAAAAGACAAATAAAGTCTAACAAATTATCTTGATTTAACAACTAATGAAGGCAGAATTTTTTGTGTCAAGTAAAAATAATAAAAATTTGATCGAAAATAACCCAATTTCATACACTTCAGAGTTTAACAGAAGAGAAGGAAAAAAAACAATTAAATGAAAAAATAAAGGGCACGCTACAAAATGGGATTCAGAATTTAGAAGGATCAACTGAACCGTCACTAATGTATGTGAAGACTCCGTGTGGAGAGCAATAGCAAAACCAAGCCAGATAGGCTTCTCAATGTAGAACGCCCCAAAACCAGTTATCTTATAGTAGACAACTAAAGCAAGCCTACTCAACTAATCTCATAAGTACAGGCCTGTTCCCATCGCAACTAATAGAATAATGTTTCGGACCACAAAAGCAGCAGCTCTAAAGCTACACTAATGAGGTGACAATGCTGTGAGTCCCACATTGATATAATATTCAATAATGCTTGAGACCACTAAAAATAATACCTCTAAATGAAGTGACAGTGGACAGAACCCACTCACTGCTTGTGTCCTGTTTTTTTTTTTTTTTTTTATTTAAAGTGCTTGCCAACTTATTAGTGGTGCTTTACAACTTATTAGTGGTGCTTTAAAGCACCACTTTTACTGAGATGTATCATTACCGTATAATATTTTGGCTTAACTATTGTTTTTTGGAAAATGTTCTAAGCCACTAATCCAAGAGCTCTAATAGCTCTAATATTGGTGTAAGTCCCACACGATGGAATGTTTTGGCCTTGTATCTTTTTTTATTTATTTATTTTTTATTACTTTCCAATTTATTAGAGCTATTAGTGCTCCAAAATTAGTGGTACCAATCACTCCTCTTTTTTTTTTGAAAAATGCTTGGGAGCACTAATTAGTGCTCCCACTAATTAGGTGGCAGTGGGTCCCGCCATTAATGATGTGATGTTTTGATCTTGGAGTTGTGTTTTTTTTTGTTTTTTTTTATTTTTTTAATGTATTAGTGCTATTAGTGGTGATATTTTTAGTGAGATGAATCATTGTTGTTTTTTTTTTTAAGTGCCAGCTCAGTAGAGCTCTTTTAGAGCTACTAATCATGGTTGACAGAAAAAAAACTAGTAGACTAGAAAAAAAAACTAGTAGACTAGAGAATAAGTCCTCTGTCCTACTACAGGTGCTGCGACAACCTTTACCAAGTCCGAACAATTATCGACCACCAGATCCGCCGGTCTGTCACTATCTGCTGAGAGAAATTGGGGAGGAACCAAATAGCAGTTGAATCTCATCATCTACACCATTAAGGGGTTAAAACCCCGAACATTTGTTCAGGAAATTCCCTCATAAGCATCATCCATAAAATTCTACTGTTCTGCCCACAAAAATAGAACCTCAATAATCAAAACCATCACTGCAAACAAACAAAACCCAACTGTCATCGCATGTTGCCCTCCCGCAAGACATCAATCATATTGTAGATCCGCTTTTCTGCTTTTGACTGAACCTGCATTCACACATGTTGAATATCAGAGTGATTATAATAGAACGATGACTATGGAGAAACTACAATCACATGACACTAAAAATAGAGCGATATTTATCAATATACATCTGATTAGCCTTTAAAGTTTATGTTTTAGATACTATCACCTTGACTCAAGAAACTGTGATGTTGAAGATTGCAATGAAATTTATTATTTAAATCGCCACAAGTGATATCTCAGCAAGTTCCTTAACCTAATAAATTGTTATGACAATATGCAAAAAGCTAAAGTACCGGTCACTAAAATTCAAGGAGAAACAGAGAAGCTTTAGCACCTTTTGAGAGAGGAAAATTACAGCATCTACAGTACCCTCAGCATACACTGAGCTGCCACAAACATTATGCCGGAACTCAAAGGAAACACTGCAAAAATCAGAATAGAAAACTGTAAGTCCTATGGTTTGGTTTTGATGATTTCAAGAATGCATTGGGTTGCCATGTTTCATCATGATATATGTTTGCCAATCCTTGATGCACAATTTGTGCTTTACATTTGATAAACTTGTGGCTAGAATTTTCAATATCTTTTGACATTAGTTACTGGATGCCTTAATGAAATGATATATAGGATTAATAGATGTTTTCAAAAGTAATCCATAATTATTTGAAAAATAGAGCTTGAGCTTTAAAATGTTTTATAGTTTTCATTCTCTAATGATTCGGATTCAAAAACTTTAAGCACAAATTATTTGATATTTGTTTTGTGTTTAAATGATCTTTAACTTATTTTAGAGTGACACAGAACTTTTACATTGATATGTATTGACTATTTCACAAAAAAAAGAGAGCTTTTGTGTTAAAAATTATGTATCTTCTGCTCTCAAGAGATTAAGCATGAAGAACTCCAAGTATGATATATCATTTTGTGCTTAAAAGATACAACGGTTCTTATTTTTATATCTCAAGTATTTGTATTCCAAAATTGAGTTCTTGTGCATGGTTCTATATTTGATGTAGATTCAAATGATCCGAGAATGAACTCGTTTAATGATGAGTTAATGCTTACCCAATTCATTTATAACATTATTTGAAGTTGGATTTGTGTTTGAACATGTTCTGAAACACCTACAGGTTGAATTTTCAAAGTTGGATTTGTGTTTGTTTGAACATGTCGCTCCTTTCATCAGAGAATACTTTGGTCAGCAAAGGTGTTGACCTCTTTTGGAATAGTGTTGATATTATTTTCCAAGGAGTGCTGGATTTGTATAGGAAGAGGAAGGTGTTGATCCTTTTCTATTGTCGACACTGTAGTCAGAAAATTTCAAACCTGACAGCATAGAACAACTTTTTCAATGGCTCTTTTTTCCATTAAATGCACTCCAACCACTTCCAATAGTCAAGAAGAGATGAAGGCTGTAAAGGAAGATTTCTACACATCTACAACGAAGAGATCAAGGATTAAAAGAGAAATTCATCAATATCTTTCCAGATTTGAGCCATAACTTTTACATTATTTGTTCTCAAGCTTCATTGTTTAAATCTAGCTCTTTGAGAGCTTATTGTACTAAACAAGTCTTGTCCTTTCTGTACACTATTTGTAAAAGGCTGTTGAGCCCTTGGGATTGATTGCTCAAGTGTTTGGGAGAAACACTAGGAGAAAGTGAGATCTTTCATGCTGTCTTTTAGAGAAAAACATAGCGTTGTTCTGAAGTGATGTTGGGACAAAATCACTTGGTGTAAAGATCAGCAACCACAAAGCTTGCTAGTTGTTACTATTTTGAAGAATAGGGAAGAAACTAAAGAGGGACATGGGCTTGCGTTAAACCAAAACTACTATAAATCTTGGAGCTTGAATCTCTTCTCTCTACTCTCCCCTCATCTTTCTTTAATGCATATTGCTTTCATTTCTTTTAAGCACACATCCGTACACTTGCTTATATTTGTTGTGTTGTTTTTTAATTTTTTATTTGTCAAAAGCTATTCAATGCCCATATAAGCTGGAAGGCAGGACTGAAAACGAGTAAAAAATACAAAAACAGAAAGCATAAAAATAAGAAATGAATTACTTTACGTTTGATCGGGTGATGTCAGATGATACAAATGGAATGCATGACGAGATAGATGCTCCTCTGGCACACCCACTATCTCCATTTGTTGCTTTGGATCGCGGATTCGTCGTATCTGATTGAAAATTTTCCAAACATCTTGACGAATAAGCCAGAAATTTAGAAAAAGAGAAGCAGGGGAGCGCAATGAAACGACATAATAGGACATAAATTTTATTTTTATTTTTTTTAAAGAAAAAGAAATGCATTCGCTAATGTTTACTCTGATAACTAAGCAATAAATAAAGAAAAAGGTGGGAAAATAAAGGAAAAGTTGCAGAGCTGCATAAGCCTACTCGAAACCATGATACTAGCCCTACTAAAAACCATGATACTAGCCTACTAAAAACCATGATGCTGTGCTTATCTCCAAGCGCACCTTATCCAATTCAAAGGAGACTCCCAGCTTTTTAAAGCATGCAACGATAGTCTTGGCTGTTCCAGACGTGTCCAATTTGCTTGCTTGGTGAGACTCCATCACCTGCAAGATTGAAAAATACACAAGATGTCAGTCTAAAGACGCTAAACATCCGCATATAGATTCAAGGCAAAAGTTAGTATTGACTTCTAGATAGATTAAGTTAGTGTTAACTTCTCAACCATAAGTTACCTAAACAAATGTACTGAACTGTAACCCAAAAACCTAAGTGTTGAATTAAGGCTTTATAAAGTTGATACAATTAGTGCTCTTCATAACAATTTATCAAAAGTGGCATGACTCAATATTCATATCTCCATACCAAAATAGTTAAATAAAAAATTTCTTGTAGCTTCTGGCATGCAGGCCACCACAACAAAGATTTGTAATGTTAACATTACTGATGCCTCTTAGGATATTGAGTTATTATATATGGAAAAATCAAGGCAAAAAGCAAGCAACACTAGATACAGAAGAAAAGGAAAAGTGAAACCAAAAAAAAAAAACAGAGAAAAATTTAAAAGTGACCTCCAGGGAATATCCAGAGAAGGCCCCGGGAAATTGCTCAGCCATAATTTCCATTGATGCAAGAAATGCTACAACCTGATCAAGACCAGCCAATCAAAATTTCAACAAGACAAGGAAAGACAAATTGACAATGTTAAATTATATAAAAGCCAGTATACGGCTACTGAATCCTGATCACCTGTTTTCCCATTTGAGGTGAGATCACAGCATAAACTTTTGAGTCTTCTGCAGTTTTATACAACCGCTCCCTGTCTCCACCAGTAGTTCCCATTACAAAGGGCACCCCAACTCTACAATACAACTCTGCATTATCTGAAGATTGCATGACAATAACAAAACCATTAACTAAAAGCTTGCTGATTGGAAATTTCATGATCACTGCTTTATTCCTGAGTAAGGAAATTCTGCAAGCAACCGGATACATTGGCAGAGGATAAGACAATAATGTCACTCAAATAGCCCCTACCAAATGTAGGAAAATTGACCCAGCTTTCCAATATTTACCTTCAAGTTCAATAATTCTAACATCACAAAAAATAACATGGGAAAATATGCACTGCATTTAATAATTCTAAAATTTGGTCATGGTGGACAGGGCTGTGAGTTTCATGTGTAGCCTCCAAAGCCCAACCATTGAAGTTGTTAGACTTATTTGATGATTTATTTAATTATATTTTAATTTATTTGAAAGAGAAAAATAGAATTTAAAATTTATTTTGATGATTTATTTAATTATATTTTAATTTATTTCAAAAAGAAAAATAGAGTCAAAATTTATTTTGATGATTTATTTGAAAGAGACAAATAGAATCAAAATTTATTTTGTTCTGTTATTTCTCACCTAAACCTTTATCCTAAATGTTGTTAGAATGTATTTAATATTTGATTAAATCAGGAGTTCAAACAGCCCAAAATAAAAGTTCAAACAGCCCAGTACAGCAGCAGGCCAAAAGGTTCAAGTGGAAGATATTCAAATTTGTAATAATGGAGTGGAAGATATTCAAATTGGTAATGATTGAAGTAAAATGGCTATAAACGGCTATAAATTCAAATAAATACAACGGTTATAAACAGCTATAAGTTTCATTATATATACTAAAGCCTCTAATGTAAACAAGTTATAAAAAAAAATCAGAAAATATTTTTTGATCTATAATCACTCACATCTATTCTCTGAAAAATTCTCTCAGAAGTGTTCTTCAATTTTTGTTTACATTATCTCTCAGAAATTATACACTGAGCCTTATAACATTAAGCTCATCTTTTCTGTGTGAGGTTTACAGAAAAATCAGAGCTTCATTTTTATATCTATCTTTGAGAGATAATTATTGTAACTTTCTGTGAAAGCAAAAACACCTTCTTTTTAACCTTGTAAAAGTGTAATACACTCAGTGTTCTTGACTTAGAAAGTCTATGTAAAATCTGTGAAGGATTGCTCCATCTGTGAAAAGGTTGCTGGCATCCTGTGAAGCTAGAAGATAGTGGAAAATCTCAAGTAAAGCTTGAGGAGTGGATGTCGGCTTGGTTGAAGTCGAACCACTATAAATCTGTTTGTCTCATCTTCCCTAATCTCTTTACTTTCCTACTACTGCTATATCTATCTAATATTCATGTGCTAATCATTTGATTTACCTTGTATGTTAGTTATACTTCATTATTATTTTGCTTGATCCAGTGTTTTTTACGGCGAAAAGCGAACCGAGACGACAAGGTCTCCTAATGCCTAAGCGCGAGGCGAGGGCTTCATCGAATCGAGGCAACCATAAAGGATATTTTTTTCAAATAAATGGTATAGACAAAAATATAAATATTTTCAAGATCCATCACGCAGTTATCATTCCAGATATTTTCAAGAAATTAAAGAACATATTTTAACAACATTAAAGAACATAAAGAAATTAAAATAGTTGCAATTAATTGAATTAAAATAATTAATTGAATAATCAGGATATTAAAATAACCAGGAAATTAATTGAATTAATTGAAATTTTAACACAGAAAAAAAATAATTGAATTAATTGAAAAAAAAATTAATTTTAAAATAATTGAATTAATTTTTGCGAATTAAAAATTAATTTTAAAAAATAATTGAATTAATTTTAACACAGGGTTCGACAGTGTTCTTCAAGTCGAAGAACAAAAATGAACAAAGGAAGAACAAGGGGGAAGAAAGGGAGGGGGGTCCAACAGTGAACAAAGAAGACCCAGGTGAAGTCGAAGGGAAGAAAGGAGAAAGGAAGAAGAAGAAGAAAGGAAGAAGAAGGAACTCACCTGTACTCGACTGGAACGACATCCGAAGAAGGAAGAAGAAGACCCAGGTAAAGTCAACTTCAGTATGCCTTTCAATGTCGACGAACGAAGTCGATCTAGGG